CACTCTGGACAGTTTCACATAATCAGCATTATTCCCGATAATAAAGAATACATATGCTTCCAATTCAAACTCATGTACTTACAATGGTAAATCTCTTGTAGTATATTTTCAAATTTTATTTTAACTCAGTTTATATCATCAAATTAAGAACAATTATTAGTTGATATTTCAGTGCAAAATTCTGCTGAGTTGTTGAGTTTATATGGCCGGGTATGCATAAGAATTTCCATGAATTATGAGAGAAGTTTTCTTCAGCTATATCATTCACTTTTTTATTTTTCTAATTCATGGTTAAAAAAGAAATACCTGCCTAATGAATTAATTTTAATTTCAATGTATTCTTGTTATTTCATATATAGTGTGTGTTTGCAAAAGATTATAATTTCTAAACATAACACTCATTTAATGTATGTTAAGTATCATTTTTCCCTTATTACTTCAAAGGCTAAACATTATTTTTTATTTCAGAACAAACTTATTAAAATGTACAGGGTGCAATTATGTATTATTGTGGAAGGGCTTGCCAAAAGGAGGCTTGGACAATACATAAAATAGAATGCCTTGCCTTCGAAGGGCAGGTCCACGAATTGTACCCAATGCAGCTCGAATGCTGTTAAGAATATTATAAAGTTAAAGGTAATTAAACTTCACATTTTCAGCCTTTCTGTTACAATAAGCACCTGATTACTCTGAAATGAATAATACAACCATTATTACAATAAATGTATTGATAGACAAATGTTTTATGAGTATTAAAGATTCTTTTCCTACATGGGTATAACTTTGTTTGAAACTTTATCATAGGGAAATAACAAATAATTATTTTATCTATTTTATCTTATACATATATCATATATATTTCAACAGCAAAATGGAGAATTTGAAAAGGGCTATTACACAAGTACAAATTATAGAAGGTTTAAAGATTTAATGTCTCGTAAGTACAATTTTGGATATGAATATTTGGCAAATTTTATTTAAATAACAACTTATTGAGTAATAATTTATTTGTTTGTATGATTTATTTGTACAGATTATGCTGAAATAAAGCTAGATTCGAAACGAATGGAGCATTTAGAAAGTTTACAAGCTGTCTTGGAACAATTATTAGTTGATATATCAGTGCCAAATTCTGCTGAGTTGTTGGGTTTATATGGCCGGGTAAGTATAAGAATTTCCAGAGATTATGAGAAAAGTTTCTTCAGCTGTATTATTAAATTTTTTATTTTTCTAATTCATTGTTAAAAATGGAATATCTACCTAATGAAATAAGTTTAATTTTAATGTATCCTTTCTTGTTTATATTCATAGAGATTTTTTGTTTTTGAATTCAAGTTATCAAATCAGGTTCATTTTTAGTTAACTGTTAATGGCTTCAACATTTGGATGGTGAAATGTGCAGTCTAGGAACTGGTATATACCTAGGCATTTCTATTGTTGACCATTCTTGCACACCAACGCTGTTGTTGTTTTTGAAGGAACCACTCTTTATATAAGAACTTTACAAGACTTGCCAAGTCTAAATTGGTCAGAGGTAAATAATTCTGATTAAAATGTATTGGTTTATTACCATCAAGACATATTTCAATTAAATGATTTGTTGCAGATATTTTTTCATATATAGATTTACTAAATACAACTGAAGCCAGAAGAATTGATCTGAAATCAACATATTATTTTCTGTGTACTTGTTATCGTTGTTTGGATGATTCAGAAACAAAACTTATGAACAGCGCATGTTGCATGAATGCATTTTGTGATGAACCTATAGATGCATCATTTTCTGATAAAATCTGCAACAAATGTACAACAAAAGTTTCTGAGGAGCACATGCAGACATATCATGAAGTTAAGGATTTATCGAAATGAAACTAGAAGAAATGAAGGACATAGCATGTAAAAAATTTGAAACATGGTAATAAAATATAATTATAAATTAACATAACTTTTATTTTCAGATTTAGATGTATGCAAAATTTGCTTGAAGAAAATGTCAGGTATATTACATCCAAAAATATTTTGTATGTTAAAATATTGGATATGGCTTTTGAAAGTGCAATTCAAATGTGCTTATGGAACGATGCAATAAGTTATGGAAATCAATTACTGCATGGTTTCAGGTGAATTAGAATAAGATATTAAAAATTCTGAATTAATATTAAAGTATTATCTGGGAATTCAATAATCTGGGCATTTTTCAGACTCAATTTTTTTTTTTTGTAGATTATATTATGGTAATTTTCATCCACTCTTGGGGTTATTATATTTAAAACTTGGAAAAATATTACTTCTTCAAAATCAGCCAGAGTCTTTAGAAAGGTATATTTTAGAATGCTTTTATTTCATGCTTGAAATCAAAATTAAAATTGAGTGTTTACTGATATGTGCAGACTTAAAAATGCACAAGAAATCCTTAAAATAACCCATGGCGAGAAACATGAGTTATACAAACACAATTTATTACCCCTATTAGAGCAAGCTTTGAGTGAAAGTCTACCTAATTAAATGGTAAATAAAGAAAACAATAGTTTGTATTTTTATACAATAAAATTTTATAGTTTACCTATAACTTATTACATACTTTTAAATAATATTAATTTTACTAAACATTTAATTCATCAGTTACTGCAGGAAAAGATCACTTTTAACATATATGTACGAATACCATATAAAAACAGGTGTATGTAAGTCAAATTATGAATTTATTATTAGGTTATTTTTATGCTTTTAGAATTTTACTTTTCATTATACAGCTAACGTTTTCCATTGTTAAAGTTGAGAATCCGCAAAGGGGCTTTAAAAGTGGAGTTAGCTTGCTGCTGAATTTGATATGCGAGTGGATGTATTTTGAAGCCATATAATCTGCAATTAAATAAAGGATTGATGATTATGGCTGTAAATAGGGAAAAAACAATTATTTATATACCTTGGTACAAATTGATTTGCTGGCCGTTTTGGTCTATATTCAGGATGAACCATAAATAACATGTGTGGAAAGCCAGAGCCAAAGTAGGCACCATCCGTGTGATGATGTCTTGAACTCTTGGGTACGTAAACATCCATACATTTAGGGCAGTAGGACTTTACCATAGCCTCTCCAGGCACATCAGAAAGACCTTTTTTTAAAAAAAGGTATGTGAATTAAGTGTCTAAGGACAAAGATTATTTATTACCACTTACCTAATGGCAGCATAGGCTGACTATCGCAGTAAACTCTAGGGCAATATCCGAAGTCTCCAGATTGGTATTTTTCTATCATTTGAGCTATACCTCTATTTGTTAAAATATATCTGGCGTGAATTAGACCATATAACATCTCTGCAGCTTGTTCTATTGCATCTGACTGATTTGGATTATCATCTATTTCATCATCTGCATAAAGAAAAAATTTATTGTTTAAGGAGACATGACAATTGTTCAAATTGATGGCTATCTTCTATATCATGACTCATGAGTAAGTTTAAAATTGCTACATCTTAAATACTGTACCAGGTTCTAAATCTAATATCATATCCAAGGCTTGTCTATATCGTGGAATTTGCTCATTAAGGCCTGTTAGATTGAATTTATCCTGTATATAGTCTTCATCCACCTACAAAAATTTTTTTTTTAATATCTATATTTAGCATTCTTCAATAAATTTTAAGACAAACCTCGCAAAAGAATTCATTTCCTCGTAGACCACAAAACCAAGATATCCATGAGACCTCCTCAGAACTGCTCATTTTCCTATAATAGTAGAGAACTGTCACAGCACCGTTAAAATAATTGTGAAAATGTTAATTCAATTATTGCGAAATATACAATATGCTAAAAAAGAGCTACTTCAAATTTTCCATGTTATTAGAAGGTATATATTGAAATTATAATTTCATTCCAAAAGCAATCATTGCAACTTGGATAATCAGAAACACATTTTATGTATTTTTGGGAATAGCCTTACCTTTTGGTACCTTGGTTAGCCACGCTTAGACTACAATATAAATGGGGTTTATTGTGCGATTTCTATATGCAACAATTTTACTTTGACAATAAAAAATATTTCTTGAAATAAAGCAGAACTACAAACGACAAATAGTTAATTCTAAAGTTAAAGTTGCACACTTGCCACTTCTCACCAAAGAACACATCAAAGAGGAAGATGGTAAACTTAACTGATTTTGAGTGAAATGGAATAAGCGTAACTAATGCATATAAAATGCATTATGATTTTTAGGTAATAACCATTGATAAAATATATTATTGATATAATTGTGGCGTTCTTTTATTTAGATATTGTTTTGTTTGATGAAAGGTAATAAATAGTGCTAAATATGCTAAAAATGGATATTAATAAATATAATGCAGCATAACTCTAAATATAAGTAATTGAATAATTAAAATCATTTTATTTAAATATATAACATTTAAAAATATAACAAGTCCATGATAAATGAGGAAGATTTTACACCATTTATCTATGATGCTTTACCTGTTTATGCCTTTGTTGTTTCTGAAATAAATTCACGATGGCAAGACGGTGAATGTTATTATAAGTGTGGTACCACCGGATACGCAAATTCTCCATAGCGTCGTAGCGTTCTCCTTGTCTAATTGTCGCCATTTCATATGTATCTCCGTTTCATATTTATCTAATATGTACAAGCCGAATCGCCATTAAAGCGAGACAAAAGATTGTTTTACTGTGTATTTTTGACATTACAATTAAGGTAAGCGATATTTATCTATTACTATTAAATAGAAATGTCAAGTGTTTCTATTTAATCCATATTGGACTTAAATCTTGAGTTATTTAATAGTTTTGAGTCATTTGTCAAAGCATCGTAGCCGCAGCTATTCTATTTATGCGTTATCCCTTTCTTGCTCAACAATTTCCCCTTAGAACATATTTCTAAAGTACGTTTTGACAAAGGAAAATATATATTTCCTTTACATTCTCTCATGTTTTATCGCGGTCTCGCTCAATATTTATGTTTGAGCTTTATTGCCTATTTTCATGATTTTTTAGGAAGAAACAATCGTTCTTTGTTCAATAAACAAAATATTGTGTTCTTTTGTAATATCGATGTGTTTCTTAAATATCATTCTATATTATTAAATATTTATATTTTTTTAAACATGTTTGACACAACTATGCATTATTATTTTAGCCTAAACAGCCTAGATAAATTAATTATTACAAACATAACATGAAGTAAATTCTTTTCTAATACTTTTTTTAGAAGTTTTTCTTAAAAAGTTTGTTCCTTGTTACAAGGTAAAATATTTTATTTTGGCAGGTAACCATAATATATTTTGCAGTTTTTAATTATGTATGATTTTATTAATAGTGAGTGAATAATTATTTTTATTTATGTTGTCTCAAATTTTAAATGTTGATATTCTAAGTTATGCCTTTGAATCAAATATTAGTTCTTTGCTTTTTAATAAACTTGTTTTTTGAGTCCCAATAATTAGTTAAATCCTTCGGTCTCAAGAATATTGTTCATTCAGTTATTTTTAGAAGTTTTTCTTAATAACTTTGTTCGTTGTTATAAGGTAAATATTTTATTTTGACAGGTAACCATAATATATTTTGCAGTTTATAATGATATATAATTTTAGTAATAGTGAGTGAATAATTATTTGTATTTATGCTCTCAAATTTTAAATGTTTGATATTCTAAGTTATGCTTTTGAATCAAATATTAGTTTTTTTGCTTTATAATAAACATGTTTTTTGAGTGCCAATAATTAGTTAAATCCTTTTGGTCTCAAGAATATTGTTCATTCAGTTATTTTTAGAAGTTTTTCTTAATAATTTTGTTCCTTGTTACAAGGTAAGATATTTTATTTTGACGGGTAACCATAATATATTTTGCAGTTTATAATAATACATATTATTTTAGTAATAGTGAGTGAATAATTATTTGTATTTATGCTGTCTCAACTTTTAAATGTTTGATATTCTAAGTTATGCTTTTGAATCAAATATTAGTTTTTTTGCTTTATAATAAACATGTTTTTTGAGTGCCAATAATTAGTTAAATCCTTTTGGTCTCAAGAATATTGTTCATTCAGTTATTTTTAGAAGTTTTTCTTACTAATTTTGTTCCTTGTTACAAGGTAAAATATTTTATTTTGACGGGTAACCATAATATATTTTGCAGTTTATAATAATATATATTATTTTAGTAATAGTGAGTGAATAATTATTTGTATTTATGCTGTCTCAACTTTTAAATGTTTGATATTCTAAGTTATGCTTTTGAATCAAATATTAGTTCTTTTGCTTTTTAATAAACCTGTTTTTTGAGTCCCAAGAATTAGTTAAATCCTTTTGATCTCAAGAATATTGTTCATTCAGTTATTTATTGTTTCTTGATATTTGTTAAATAAATATTTTATTCACCTCCACTTTCTTGATAGTATAATTTTATCTTGTAAAGTATTTCTTCTTTGTTCAATTTCAAATTATTAATTAGTCTATTTAATAGGATCGAAGTTGAAAATTTCTTGCAATGTTTACTACTTCAAATGCCTTACAAAATGCTGGAGGAACGACACCAACTTTGCAATATCAGCAAGCTGACATGGGCCAGAAGCCCCAAGTTAAAACGATTGATAATACTCAAATAAAAATAAGTCAACATCAACAGGTATGATTCATTCGACTTAAGGTGGTATTTTAGTGTAGTGGCATGAATTTAGTGAAAGTTATATTTAAATCATAAAAAAGACCAATAATTTTTATGCTATATCTTTTTTATAATTTCTTTATCAATGTTACAAGAATACAGAATAACTTAAACAAAATAGAGATAATAATTGAAAAACTTTAGCCATTGTTGTTGAAGTGGAAAGTTGCAAAAAAGATTATTAATATAGAATGATGTCAATTGGTATATACTTTGGATTAAGTTTAAGAATAGGTTTTTGACAAAATGGTGACTGAAAAGAAAGGATCAATTTTTTACTCTTCTTTGAGTCTCTCGATTTTTTTCAAAAAATAGTAAGTATTAAAATACTGAGATGAGGCTAGTATGTGCCTGAGGGAAGTCTGTAAAGAAGATTCTCCAAAAATTTTAAGTAAATCACGTAGAACTTGCAAAATTGTGGGCATTGTATTGAAAAAGACAATTTTGGGAAAAGGAAACAAAAGAGATTATCATGTTCAAACAGCTGTATCTCCGAAGATAACATAAATTTTCAAAAATCTTCTGGTACACATATTCTTAAATGGTTAAACTTTGGAAATAAAAATAAAAAAACTATTTTCTTGAATTTCTACAATAGAAATTTAAGTTTTCCTTAAATTATTTCAACACTCAAAATAATAGATTTTTTAAGAAATGTATAAAATATTCTAAATATATTTAGAATAATATTTTAATTTGATTTAATAAGAGGATAAGTTTAGTATTGATAGATTGAAAACTTAAAATATTTTACTCAATGTAAATTCTTTTTTACAGCAAGTACACATATTCTTAAATATGATAGAAGATAAAAATTAAAAAAAATTATTTTCTTGAATTTCTACACTAGACATTCAAGTTTTTGTTAAATTATTTCAACACTCAAAATAATAATCTAAGAATTTTTAAGAAATGTATAAAATATTCTAAATATATTTAAAATAATATATTAATATCATTTAATAAGATGATAAGTTTAGTATTGATAGATTGTAAACTTAAAATATTTTACTAACTTTTAATTCTTCTTTTATAGCAAGTTCAACAAGAGTTTCCAACATTCTGTTACACCAATGTAAATATGATTCAAAATTGACACCAGCCTCCCAGGCACACACCAGCACTGTAAATTTAGCTCAATTGACTGATGATAATAAAACCTGTTATATTGCACAACCGTTCGGTTATAACTATGCTTTAGTTAACCAAATGCAGCTAGCTCAGAATGGGGTAACTGGAGTTACCATTGATGGAAGAATACCGAATACAATATCTAATATAAGTTTTAAATGTGACGTTTGTGGTTTAATGTTTGCACATTTAACTCTTTTGAATCATCACAAGAGAATTCATAATCAGGATCAAGATTCTGATGGAAATATTACTGTTGTTGCCCAGGCTCAAAATTTAGTATCTGCACAGAACTTAGTGCAAGATGGACAGAGTTTGGGAACATTACAAGGTAATAATAGTAAAGGATATTTTTGTTTTTATGGGGATAAACAATTTCAAATTCACATATTTTTTTGATGTTACTTTGCATTCAGATAGCCATCAGTGATTAATAATTGATTCAGCCTTTAAAAAGATTCAATGAGAGTTCTTTGTTTAAATTTTTTTATTCTCATGAATATGGATGCATTTAACATAAACACAGTAACTGTACAAGTTTTTAAATACATTATATTATTATTATTATTGCATTCTGTAAAATTATTAGTAACTGTATATAATTAATGCTTAAAAACTATATTTTACAGGAGCCATACAATTGTGGCCACAGAAACATTAGAACCGGCTACAAGCCAAGCGATGCAACAACAAGAACAACAATTGGCAATCACAAAATCAACTATGGTTACAATAGATAAAATCAAAAATGTATTACATGTGGTGGACCAATCATAATTAATCCAAAACGTAAAGGACCGAAACTGATTAGATGTGAAACTTGTATTAATAATGATAATGTTTCTCTCATGTTAGAGGTAATATATTTATCAATATTGTTAATTTCAATTCATTTCTCAAATAAATTTCAAGTAATAGTTATATATTTTTTTACACCTTATGATTATGCATCAGTGGATATATAATAGATTAAAAAAAACAACTTCTAAAGAATAATTATTGAAATTAGACATTTATTGTGAATAACTTGAGTAATATTTATATAATTCATTTCTTTTATCATGTATTACTATTTTTAGCTGCAACACAAATTTTTGTTGCCCCTGATGGTGATGTTAAATTTGAAATGACTGAAATAACAAATCAAGGTCAGCAGCAACAGCAACAGCAGCAGCAGCAGCAACAACAGGATGGTCAAACAATGGACAATCTCGGGACACAAAATGTTATACCTCTTGGACAAAAACCATTACCGGTAAGAAAACCAATTACAGATTTTATATGAAATGTAAAATGAAATCTAAATGTTCTTTTTTATTTTTTGATGATAATTTATTGATTGATTTTATATCTATTAAAGGACATCATCCTGTTAAGAAAAGGAATATTGCTTCAGTTACAAAATGTCACAAATGCAATGGCTCAGGAATTATTTTTATAGGTGGTAATAAAAATAAACTGCAAAATGCGAAGTAATTATTCTGAAATAAACAAGAAACAAATATTATATTAATTGTAATATTCTAATAATAACTATTTTTATTTAGTGCTGAGAAACCTTTTCATTGCAATATTTGTGGAGGTTCATTTTCTAGATATTCTAGTTGTGGTCTCATAAAAAATTACATAGTGGAGAAAAGAATTTCAAATGTACAATTTGCGGATTGGCTTTTGCTAAAGCAGTTTATCTTAAGAATCATTCAAGAATTCATACAGGAGAGAAACCATATAGGTAAAACAATGCATTTAAGTTTTTATTAAATACAGTTATACTAAATTCTATCTAATTTCAGATGCAATACATGCGGTATGCAGTTTTCACAATCACCGCATTTGAAAAATCATGAACGTACACATAGTGGTGAAAAACCATATGTTTGCGAGGTAATTAGTTGTATGACATTAAAATCAAACTCAGCGAAGTTGTAGCATATAATTCAATAGATTTTTATAAAATACATTTTCTATAATTTAGATTTTTGGATTTGGCTGCTAAATACTAAATTTATCTAATATAATATTTTTATTGCAGGTTTGTGATAAAGGATTTGCAAGACATGCAACACTATGGAATCATAGGCGAATTCATACAGGAGAAAAACCATATAAATGTGATATATGTGGCTCTGCATTCAGCCAAGCTGCTCACTTGAAAAATCATGCAAAGGTTTGTGTCAATTTTTAATTCAAGTTTGAATTTAATTATTATTTCTGATTATTAATAATTAAAGTGTAATAATATAATGAATATTTTCTATTATTATTAATTGCAGGTTCATTCTGGAGAGAAACCCTTCAAATGTGATATATGTTCTGCTGCATTTGCTGATAGATTTGCATTAAAACGACACAGAGGCATTCATGAAAAATATGGTAAGGGATATTAATGTTTTTTTAAAAGTATTATCTTTATTTGTTTATATTTATTTTAATTTTATTACTTGTATAGGTCAAACAGCTCCAAGACAACCTGCTCAACCACCACAGATAGTTATTTTAAAACAGGAGGAACAAGATCAGCAGCAACAGCAGCAGCAGCAACAACAGCAACAACAACAAACAGCAGCAGCAACAGCAACAACAACAACAGCAGCAGCAGCAACAGCAAGAAGAGGAAAAAATCCATGAAGTTGTCATAACAATGTAGATTGTTTAAAACTTCTCCAGGAATTTCCTTGTTTGACAATATCACATTTCAGGCTTGTATGACTTGAATAATAAGCAATTTATAGACTGGATTAACTAATTTTATATTATTATATAATTTAGTTATGTTAAGTTAACAGTTGAATGACTATTAGAACACAAACGCCTGCAAAGTGTATAAACTATATTAAGCTTAATTATATATATTTATATATATTTGAATAATAACTAAGTTTACTGTTTATAATTTATATTTTATAGAAGTAAGTTGCCACTAGTTTTTCATTAGTACTAAAAATAGAAATAAGTTGTTCTTCAAAAAGAAGATAAAACACTAATTACTATGTAAATATTTTATAAAAAGATTTAAAGGTGATATTTATTTCATAGTTGTAGAAATATGAAGTAAAGCGCTCTCCTTGCTGTAAAATTAAGTATTCAACTACCATTAATTATAGATAGTAGAGAAATCACATTCCACTTTTTGTACATACAGACTTAGGATTATCAACATGATTGATTCTATTTTATCCATCTTGATCTTGAATAGATATCTTGATCTGTTTTTATAATCATATTATTATTATTTTAATGAAAAAATAATGTGCAGCTTGCATATTATTTTGACTTTAGTTATTTATTGTGCTGAAATACACAGCTAAAATTTGAAATTTGATATAAGAATAAAATGTTAATATGTATGCGCTGAGAAAAAAAATAAATATTGGTGGAAATGGAAATTAAAGAACTTTTCTTGAATTAATTGCAGAAACTTAATTTAGGCTCAAGAGAACTAGCAGTAAATAATTTGAATTCATTTATTATTAGGCATATATTTAACCAGCATATGGTTCTTACAGTGGAAGCATTATGAGTTAAACTTTTTTTTTCTGTAATTCAACTCTTATTACAGATACTTCTGCTCAAATTATTCTTAACATGCACATGTAGGAATACTACTATTAAACTTACCATTAGATGAAGATGATTATTTGGTCTCAAGCATAAGCTCAGCCATCATGAAACTCCTAGGTATATTTTGAATATTATTGTTAACCATTAACATTTTGTATACTTTGTTAATGATGTAGTTCATTATTTAATTCATATTAGTAATAATATAATTTAATATTTATTATTACAACACAATCTTTTCATTATAAGGAGATACCAAGAATCCAGAGCAACATGCCTATCTAGGTTTTTGAGAATCTTCTGAGTTTCAGATTCTTACAAGTGGACCACTTCGAACGCAGACTGGACTTTTTACGGTTTCACACAGACCAGTTCACCAGCTTATTTCTTTGTCAACATCTTGCAGAGGCAACGAATGATGAATAATCCGAAATATTTGACCAAGAATATTGTAATGATGTACAAATGGAGTTAGTTGTTGATGTGAGAAGACAGTGTAAATGTTAAAGTCTAGTTTTTGTTATATATGATGGGTTTTATATAGACTTTTTATATCAGTGAAGATTCTTGTGCATAATCTTTTTACAACTTACGATATTCAATAGATGTGCATTATTGAGATTTAAATGGTATCTGATAGTAATTAAATTAATTTATTAATATTGTTAAGACCAAAAGTACCAATATGTTCTGACAATTTGTATATACAGTTCTAATCTCAATTTGTTTTTTAAAATTCAAACTCAGAATGTGTGTGATTAAAGAGAGTGCTCGATTTTTGTAAAATCAAATGTACTTATATAATTTTAATTACAAGTTTTTTTTTTTTTTTTTAGATCTTGTTATTATACCGTTTTTTTTTTTAATTTGAGATCCATTTTATTTTATATTACATACTGACAAATTATTTATTAAATGATTATTTATCAAAGCAAAAAAATCTATCTAATTGCTAATTACAAATAAGTGCATCTTTGAAGACTATATTGTGTGTTATAATAGTAATATGTATTCAATAGACATTTGAATTGTGTTAGTTCAATCTATTGTGATGTGTGATAATGATATCAAATTATATCTTTCAAAATATATTTCATATAGTATATATTTTGGTAATGTTTTTTTAATTATATAAATAAAAGTATAATTAATTTAGTTTGATTCGTTTATTATACAATTTATGTGCATTTTATTGAATATTTCAGGTTGCTTTTAGCAAACAATAATTAATAGCCATGTTTAAATATCAATTTTTAATCTATTTATCCTTTTATTGATTTAACACATATATACGATTATATTGTGCATATTTAGTAGCTCATTACAATAATATTAATAAGTAACAATAAGTTACATTTATCATTTACATAACAATAAGTTACATGTTTTCATTTAACTTAATATTCAAATTATTACCCCTAACGTTTTAGCAGACGGCCCTGCACAATACCGACTTTATTTCATTTTCGGATTTGTGACTGATCTCCTGGTAGAATGAATAAATTTCAGTATGAAAATTCTTCATTGCCATACAAAATCTCGTCGCAAATCCATTCGA